CTCAAGCAGAGCGCTGTGCCATTGCTGTTTGTCCATTTGGTCCTTAATTTCACAGTAGGCGAGCAGGAAGTCTCTAGGGGCATTTCAGGTCGATTTCGGACTGAGCCCAAAACGAGTATGTACAAGCACCGATATATATAATGGAGGGGGCAAAGCACAAGGAAACAAAGGGGATCTGAATCAGAACGAAGACGTCCGAACGGGAACAAAGGGTAGACAGAAGCAGAGCAGTACTGAAGGTCACAAGGCAGGACCTGTGATACGTCTGAAAGGAGGTAGGGAGGGCGAGGCCCAGAGGGGCAGGAGGATGAGGAGAAGTGGGGATGATGACTAACTGGCTAGAATGGGAAGAAGCAGCAGTCCAAATAGGGATGAGGGGAAAATGCGAAAGATACATTACAAGCGGCAAAAGTGCTGAAGGTGATCTGCGAAGCTCAGAGGTTGCGGAGGTTACGGAGGTTACGGAGGCGGGGTTGAAAGTCCGAGGAATATTGGCAATGGTGTTTATGTAGTATGAGGTCACCAATGCAATGGACTAAGACCGAGGTGGAGTCAAAGTCCGAGGCAGGGACTATGACGGAGGCTCGGAGCAAAGGTACGAGCGGTGCCCAAGTACAAAGTACGGGACAGCAGTGGAAGGTCGTAACTTGGCGGGAGGTCGGCGGAAGAGTACCAGAGGGAGGAGAGAGGAGAAGGTAAGAGGGAAGGAGTGGCGGAAAGGAGAGTTGTCTGGTCCGAAGGTGAGTATCGGAGCGGATGGGGAAGCGTAGGGGGGTGACAGAAGGGTGGTGGTTGTTGTGAAGGAGGAGCGGAGTAGGAAGAGGAGGGGTAGTAGGAGGGTGGCGATGTCAGGGCCCGGCCTCGGACTCGGAGGCTCCCTGACCTCAGCCCCCATCTAACCTGTCCTCACACTATGCGGGGCATGAGATGAGAAGAAGGGTAAAGGTCTCATCTCCCCGCATGGTTGCTATATAAGGAATGGGTCACATGCCCACAACTATACAGCTCCTAGAGTTGTGTAGTGTGACCCGGAGGGAACATCCAGGTGGCAGTGCCCAGTAAGCGTGGGAATGTTCTGGGCGAGTTGCTCGCCCAGAACTGTGGCTGTGACCCGTGGGAACATTCTGGGCGAGCTGCTTGCTCAGAAAGTTCCCACGCTATCCCGTGCGCGCATGTACACAACACACAAAGGCAACAACAAGGCAACAGTCAAAGAATAAAAGGGGGTAAAGTAGGTGGGGAGTCCGGGGCACCCTAAGGCAGGGTGCTGAACCCTGACAGGCGAGAGGGGCGGTGTTCGGTCCGAGGTGAGTATCGGAGCGGACAGAGATAGGGGAGGAGAGGGAAGGAGGAGTAGAGGTGGCATGGGGGGTAGAAGGAGGCGTGTTGCCAGGACCGAAGGTGAGTATCGGAATGGGCAGCGGTAGGGTATGACTCCAGAGGTGGGGAAGGAGGAGGTCCGGAAGTCGGGTCGGGATCGGGTATGCACAGATATGACAACCTCAGTAATAAAATCGACTAGAGTTTACCCCCTTCAGTTCTGGTTGCCAGTTTAGTAAGTTAGGGCACAGACATGTTACTTGGCACAGCGCTCCTGGCATAAGTCGCTGAGGCCAAAGCCCTCCGCCATGGAGACACTCCCTCGTCTCAACCTGGTCTCTGACAAACAGCGCTTCCGGACGCACCGCATATTTCCACCCACATATCCACCAGTGTGCACTCCAACAGACCTCTGCCACATCCTCCAACCTCAACTCAGACAGAACCAGCCCGTCTTCTGACAGTATTTCCATCTCTGACACTGCCACTACGCATAGCCACTACTTGTCCCATTGAGTCCCCCACACCGGGACTTCGCCACTTTTGGAGCTGTCCCTGACACAGCGATGTAGGGATGGTAGATACAGGAGGGGCATGTGGCATGCATGCCAGTGGTACATTGAATAGAGGGAAAGGTGGTCCATGTGGGAGAAAGAAAGAGCGAAAGAAGGAAAGAACCAAAGGAAGGAAGGAAGGTGCAGCATGGAGTGGGGTCAGGCAGGGCATGCCCTGACATCAGGGCACACTGTAATGGGTCAATCGCCTTGACTCAAGACAGAGAAGAGGGGGGATTGTAGTGTGTGTGGGTGTGGTTCGTGGGGCAAGGTTTTGGTCCATGGGTGCTACTGGGTCTGCAAAAACCTCAAACAAACACTCACCTATGTCTCTCTTGGACGTCAAGGCTGAGGATTATGATAAGAGGGGTCTTAGACGTTGGTAACAAGCTTAGAGGGGGCATTAGGGTCATGGATGGCATCTTTGCCACTTGGATGTAACTACTTTTCACTCTTGCATGGGTCTATTCAGTACTAACTTGTTATGTACAAGGTATTTTCTATTTTATATGGATTGGAAATGGAATGAATGGAATGGGGGAATGTTAACAGGCTGATAGGCAACCGTAAATAAGGAATGTCCAATTAGGAACAGAGAAACAATAAAAGAAATATGAATGAATGGGGAATATATGACAATGGATCCGAAATGGGAATTGTAAAGATTAACTCCACAACACTTCGCCACAGCGCCCACCTATCCTCCCGTCAGCAACCTCCTCATCTCCAGCTTTCCAATGAACCCTTATTTGTCCCAATTGGTGCAGTAGTTCCTGAGATATGGCTATTGACAGGTGCTGTCAGGACCACATGAGGCTCTACACCATGCTGAACCATCCGAGTATGGGGTTGCCATTCTGGGAAATGCTCCATGGGTGAAGGAGGAAGGTAGAGCATCACCAATGGGTAGAAAAACAGCTGGGTTTAATGTGTGGTTATGGAGAGGGGGTGGAATTGGCAGCATGATTGGGCATTGTTAGAATGGGCGGAAACGGACGACTCCGGAGTGGAATCGGAGACTTAGCGTGGAGGGACCTTGGCCTCAGCGACTCAAGCGGAGCGCTGTGCCATTGCTGTTTGTCCATTTGGTCCTTAATTTCACAGTAGGTGAGCAGGAAGTCTCTTGGGGGCATTTCAGGTCGATTTCGGACTGAAACCAAGACGAGTATGTACAAGCGCCGATATATATAATGGAAGGGCAAAAGCACAAAGAGAACAAAGGGCGACCGAATCGGAACGAAGACGTCCGAACGGGAACAAAGGGTAGAGGGAGCGGAGCGGTGACGAAGGTCATAGGGCAAGACCTGTGATACGTCCGAAAGGAGGTAGAGAGGGCGAGGCCCAGAGGGGCAGGAGGATGAGGGGAAGTGGGGATGATGACTAACTGGCTAGAATAGAAAGAAGCAGTAGTCCAAATAGGGATGAAGGGAAAACGCGAGAAATACATTACAGGCGGCGAGAGCGCCGAAGGCGGTCCGCGAAGCTCGGGGGTTGCGGAGCTTACGGAGGTTACGGAGGTGGGGTTGGAAGTCCGAGGAATATTGGCAATGGTGTTTACGTAGTATGAGGTCACCAATGCAATGGACTAAGGCCGAGGTGGAGTCAAAGTCCGAAGTAGGGACTATGACGGAGGCTCGGAGTAAGGTACGAGCGGTGTCCGAGTGCGAAGTACGGAACAACGGTAGAAGGTCGTAACTTGGCGGAAGGGTGGTGGAGGAGTAACGGAGGGAGGAGAGAGTGGTGGAAAGGAGAGTAGTCAGGTCCGAAGGTGAGTATCGGAGCGGACGGGGGAAGCGTAGGAGGATAACGGGAGGGTGGAGGTGTTGTGAAGGGGGAGCGGAGTAGTAGGAGGGTGGTGAGAGGTAAGGAGGAGGTGTGTTGCCAGGACCGAGGGTGAGTATCGGAACGGCAGCGGTAGGTTATGACTCCGGAGGTGAAGAGGGTGGAGGTCCGGAAGTCGGGTCGGGGTCAGGTATGCACGGATATGACAGGCATGGGAATTTGGCTTGGGACTGTCAGGAATGATGGGGAAAATATAGAAAACTAGGGAATGGGTGTATGGAGTGTTGGATAGTGTGGGAATGAGCAATGGAAATGTCAGAGGGTATGTGGTGTGTGTTGGTGGGCAAATTCCGCAGAATCCGACTTTTTGCAGTGCACGGACTTGTGTCAGGGGACAGCCAGGTATCTGGCCCCCCTTTACTCTAAGCGATATCAATGATGTAACCATTAGCCAAGATTGCATGAGATATTTACATAGTTAGAATGCAGGTACTATTCATTGCGCTATTATTGCTATCACATCACCCCTTACCCACTATCGCCCACCCGTCCGCATCATCCATCCTCCTATCTGATGTCATACTTCTATCGGTTACCATGTATTCCCAGTGTAGCCACGCTCTCGTGAGTTAGCGGAACTCATGTATATAAGGCTCTTATGCCAGCTAGGCTAGCTCCCTAGCTTTGATATTGACTAGTTTCCCAGGGAGATCTTTACGCATGAACTGACATGCGGACTCTGACAACTTGTCCCCACAACAATGCCCTACCTGACCCTGCATATATATAATAACAGCTGGAGTGGGAACCAAAGAAGTAGCCTTCTTCTCACATTCCCACTTCAAACTAAGTGGTCAGGGATGCTCACCCCACAATGGGACTGCCACTACACATAGCCACTTCTCATCCCATCAAGTCCCCCATGCCAGGACTTCGCCACTTTAGGAGCTGTCCCTGACAACTTCCCACTTCAGCTTAAGTGACCAGGGGCACTTGTCTGCACCAGGCTCATTGCTATGCATGCCCACACCACACCCTACTGGGCCCTCAGCACCAGGCAATTACACCCGGCACCCTCAACTCCGGGTCGGTCCCTGACATGCACCCAGTCACAGCATACCTCACACAATGAAGTCCCTGATCCCCCCTGGCTGGCAGACAATCTTGTGATCAAGGCATCACCTGCATGCTGGCTAGCTCCAGCCCTTGACCCAGCTGTGACCATTTTCTTCATACTTTACAACTTGGGATTTTCTACATTAGTTCTCAGATTGGTAGAAGCTGCACCATTCCCATTGAAGGATGAATCACTATATCAAAGATGCTTTTAACAGACATTGACTCCCCAACAAGAAATCTTCCTTCACTACCTCCCATAATCAGACATCCAGTGAGACTGTGGAAAGTCCCCCCCAAAGCAATCCAGAGGTCGCATGTGTCCAATGAGAGGCTCCTTGGATGATGCCTGAGGTACAACAATGTCAAGGAAGGTCTTGAATTCATTTGTGATTCCTGCTGTTCTTAGTATGGGATAAGTGTTTTCACTTGCACCTCGGGCCGAGATCAGGTAGCAGTTGTATAAGTCCATTTCCAGCTGCTTGCCTTGAGCCTGTGCTTTCAGCTTCTTCAAAACTGTTTCATCTTTTGGATGTTCCTCTTTGTGTTGGGACAAATTATCCCAGGCAGACTCACATTCTGCCTTCAGTTCTTGATATTCCGAGGGCTGGAAATGCTTGGGGGCTTGGTATGTGACCATTGCGATTCCCCAGTACTTGGACTCAGTACCAAGCTCCATCAGCAGGGCAAGATAAGGAAGGGGGGCTTTGCGATCACGGATGATTCCGGCAGGTCGCAGGTTGTTCTCAGCACTTGTATCTCCTTTTTTGTACTTGACCTGGACAACAAGTCCCGACAGCTTGTCAGGATCAAAAACATCTTCTGGCTCGACAGAGCCAAAATAGATGGGGCATAAGAAATCAATTGATGATTGATTGAAACAGCATTGCAATATGGTGCCCCGAGCCCAGAGGTTAGGAAGTAAGTTCCTGAGGAGCATTGGTTAGCAGACACATAGACAAGCATGCAAGAAATACCTACCGAGGAGGCATCTCAGGTAAGAAGTCCCTTGTGACAGCCCAATGTGTGAAGTTGACAAATGCATTACTGAAAGATTCCTGGAAGGCATCCCAAATAATGGGACCAAAAAGACTTTGCAGAAAGCCCAACAGGGGAACAGGATCTCGCAGGTTACGGTGTCCTTCCTGACTTGGGGCAGCATAGTCACGTGCAGTGAGAAGGAGGAAACGGGCAGCAAGTTCACCCATAAGACCTTTTTCGATTAAACCAGCATGGCACAAATCTTGGCTCAACGTCCTCAGGACTTGAGGCAACCTCCCAGAGGCCATGGGGTCAGGATCATACAATATCGATGCCGCACCCAAAGCCAGAATTGGTTCCGATGGTGAATGGGTGAAAAACATCGCGTTCTCAGTCGAGATGCCTGCGAGGAGTCTCATATGATGGGAGACACTCCGATTAGCCAACTCGATGGCCTCAGCATTTGACAGAACAGGATCGAGGCAAATCCGCTGTGCAAGCACAGCAAACACATGATCCCGACTGCCGGCATTAAATTCTTCACCAGCGATGAGCTTCCAGACAGCAAGATCCACCAGTCCGTCACCCACCTCGGGCGACATCGCACGCCACCTGTTAGAGGCAAGTAGATAGTTGTCCCTGCAATCAGGAAGAAAGGACATACAATGGCCGCCCGTATTGGGCGAGATGGTGCAATGTTCCAAGATGACCAATAGTCGAAATTTTCGAAGTTTTGGCCTCCTCGATAGCATACTGATCAAAATCGAGAGCAAAGTAGGGGGGCTCCAGTCGACGCACTTCCTTTCGGAGTCTTGCGGATATCACTGCAAACGATGAGCTTTCGCCAGGTAACTGTTTATATACTCACTGTTTTGAGGAGGTGCAAAATCTGTTAAGCTTGATTTTGTTCCCATAAAGATGTACCACATTTTTATGGAATCATCTTGATTTTGCAATAAACGTAACATAATCCAGAAACATTTCCCCAGCTCGTGAGCTTCATCGAAATATGTCACGCATAGTGGGTTAGAGGTAAGGCTCTTGATGAACTCCACGAGGTTGCCAACGGCTGCTTTTGCATGTCGATGATAAAAGTCTCTGGCGTGCCCGATTGCGTCATAATCTTCGTTCTCATCTTCGCGCTTGGGGCTCTTCTGGGTCGTAGAATAGTCATTTTTTAACTAAACTAATCATCAATCCCAGCGGAGAGAAAATGAACAGAAATTTACCTCGTTGGCCCGCTCTATCACAACTCCGAAAAACTTCCTCCGATAAATTCTTGCTCTGCCTCCCTCCATCATCTCGTGCCAATGTCCGAGGACTTCTGCTTTCTCGCATTTCTCCTCAGTAAGAATGTTTTGGAGCGAGGTCAGCATTGTCTCGTGTGCGGCTGCGAGGAAACTAGTAATGCCCCCCAGTGCGCTAATGCTCCAATCATTATCCCCGCACTTGATCTTCAGGGATTGGAAGTAGTCAAACACGGGGGTATCTGATAACGGATATCCCGGATCCCAGGCGCCACGAAGACAGATGGGGAGGGTAAAGATTTGTGTGCCAACCTGGGGCAAAATGGTCATGTTATCTTCCAAGACCACGGAAGATGGACGCAGGCACACCTCCGTGAGCATTCGTGATTTTCCGGTCCCAGAGCTTTGAATAATTGAGATGGCTTTGGCATAACGTGGTTTCCTGGAGTTGCCCGGCTCCTTGTCGATCTCCTCGAGATGCTGAATGAATGCGTAAGCAGCATCTCCAATGAACCGTGTACGGTAGGCCTCAGCAAGGCCTGACAACTAATCAGAACTCTGGAAAAGGTGGTGATTCTCAGGATTACCTCTTGCAACACCAAACCTGTAAACGAAGAGACGTAAGGGCAGATTGAAGTGGATGTTGTATATGCGTACTTATTATCGATCATAATATAATTGGATCTCGGAGATTCAGTAACTCGCAGCTTCAATGCTGCTGTACTGTCGATTGAGCAGTGACCGCAATGCTGGTTGGTAGTAGTACATACCATACTCGATCAAAGGGGTCCACTCAGAGTTTTTGAGAGTCTTTACGATTATATCGACACATTCCCTGCGCTCGGCAGTGCTGAAATTATTCAGGAATGCTTGTAGTTGGGCAACGTGAACGACATCTGCACGGGCCACATTCAGTCCGGCGTGAAGAGTACTCATAACGCTCAGAAAGAGTGCATCCCAAAGACTCGTTACGCCCGCCTCAGCTTGATTTAGGAGGGGAATCCATGTAGCCCTACTCGTGTTCATGGTACTGGATATCACAGTCTGAAGCACCGCTTCCACTTGACCCTTGCGCAGAGGTCCGAGTCCTGCCTTGAGTCTTGCCTCAACCGTTTCCATTTGATCCTCGCGCAGAGGTCCGAGTCCTGCCTCGACCGTTTCCATTTGACCCTCGCACAGAGGTCCGAGTCCTGCCTCAACCGTTTCCATTTGATCCTCGCGCAGAGGTCCGAGTCCTGCCTCACTTGTTGTTGAGGCAGAAGAGTAGGACTGGACAGTTTCCATCTTAGTGTTGCAGCGAAATGTGTCTCCGGCTGACTCCGCATGGTGGCGTGACAAGTAAGTTACTCTGCACACAGAGTCACTAACCACTCCCGATATTACGCAATTGGCGACGCTGAAAATTTGTCATCATCTTCCCTTTTGGGTTGTTTCCTTTTCTCTACATGCTTACTTTTACGCCTGTCCCTTCTCTCCCTTTACTTTCCTTCCACCATTTCCGCTCCCACTCGGCTCTTGTCCTTAAAGTCTTGGCTTAATCATATGGTTTTTTTCCCTCTTGCACGCAACAATGTCATGCATGCATTAAAAGGTGTCAACATGCTTGGTGATGTCCCTATGTCTGACCACAGGTATTCCATGACATCGTCTGTCCTTGCGCATGGTAGTCCGTGAAGGCATATGCTGGTTCCACTGTGATTTGTTGCCATACCACCTTCTTTTTTGCCCTGCCTTTATATAATTCCAGACTCCGAATGACTGGAAAAATTGGATTGTGTTTGTCAGATGTCTGCATTCCAATTAAACACATATTTTTATAGCCTAAGTATATTCGCGAAATGAACTGAAAAAAATAGAAATAGATTCATGCTGGGACAGGTGAAAGGAAACATGTGCAAAGTCAAGCAAAGCGCGAAGCGCAAGCACTCTAATATATCAAAACTCTGCAAAAATCCACTTGTATGGATGTGTCTTAGCTGTCAAGTGCTCATGCAAGATAGCGTCAGCCGGTTGTGTGGTTCACGTAACCCCGCACCGACTCATCGCGCACCTTCCATACCGGCCATAGTGCAGTAACATACTAGCCCTCGAAATTAAGATCTTCCGTCCATTTAATCATCTTTCTGAGGTTCTTGTAAGCCCCAAAGCACTCGTAGCGATGGGTGGAAAAAAATCGCTCAGTTCCTAAGTATCTAGAGGTAGAAGCGCGTTTGGTCATTATCATACCTCGCAAATCTCTCGCACGATTCTGAATTGAACCTGGACCTTCATTAATGCGTAGGTAAGGCATTCATTATGCAATCCATCGTCAAACTTGGGTATGTTGGTCGTCGATCCTTTAATATCCAGGATCGTGGTTGGAAGATCTGGATCCGGAAAACTCGATTCGTCCTTTCCATGCATTTTCGTTAAATCCAAAGTTAGGACTGTTGGAATCACCTTGGCCCGATAAGTTAATACTTCCACAGTGAATTAAAGAAGTGATAGCGGCGAGATGAACTGTGAGTAATCTGGTTCAGTTGACCGGAAGTTAGCTACTTTGAGATGCCTAGAAGCCAGCACTGCTCTAGCTGCGGCTTCGCTGAGTCCTTTGAATCCAATTGTGTCACAGTCCCACCCGCAACCCAACCCGCTGACATTGGAAAGATGCCGTGGGGCAACTGCAACGTGGGGACATTGTCCAAAACCGAATTGAACTGCAAGTTATATTCAGCACTAATACGATTGCTACGGCAGCAAATAGCATCAGCGTAGGATCAGGATGGGATTCCATCGCAGTAACACTCTGGGGATAAGCCTGGACGGACGGACATACTCATCCATCGTCCAATCACGGATCCGGTTGTAGTCGCAATGATGTGTTGTGCGATACTACAGCCATTCTCATTCACGAGCTTCGATGGGTGAGTGTTTGCAAAAGGGAGCACATGTAGGATGGGACGCTCCATCAAATTCCGCAAAGAACTATGTATACACTGATGGGCAAGCGGCCTCACGCCCCACACCCGTACTGGAACGTTCAAATTTTTCTTTGCATTACATGATGGTTGACCCTTCGCACGATTCCCCGACCCGTTACCAGGACGTCTAATCATTGGCTTAATACGTGCCTACGCGCGGTACTCCGTGGGGTTACATGGCTCAACTCCAGTCTCTATTGCCCACCAATACTATCCTTTTCAAGTCTGAGGGGTGGTGTATACTTCCTGCAAGATATTGTTCTGCTTTTTGCTACTGCTAGAAGGGTCTGAGGCATTTGGACTACCCACAGCTCATCCGTATAATCCCAAAGGTGAAATTATTTCCTGCATGCATAGACTCATGGATCAGTTGATTGGAAGTCCTTCAAAAAAAAAAAAATACTGCACTGGCAAATCATGAGGGTGACGTTCTGTAGGTGAGGAGTCCGCGTGCTTTTCGGGCTACTATGACATGATTGCGCTGCATGATATGGAAAAGTGTTTCCCTGGTCAATGCTTCTTCATGCGTATTCGATCCCGACCTTTCATGCGAGCAGACAGGGATGTTGACACTGATACCCTTGCATCATGACCTGACCTCGACTCCCGAATCTTTTCTGGGGCGGGCGCCCACTGCGACACATTCGGGCTCATACAACAGTCCTCAGTGTGAAGAAAAATGCCGCTCATTTCGCATTCACACAAAGCAATACCGATCAGTGGAGTGGCGTGGATATCTGTATCGGAGCTTCGACATACGCACATGTTCTCGGGATTCATTTTCTGAACAAAATTTCCCCTCCCCTCTCGTTCCCGAGAAGCTTTTATTCCGGTGGTGACTGCTCCGGCATATCATATGTCATCGACGGTGTAGTGTAGCTTATCGAAAGCTGCTAGTGCCACGGGGGCGACAAAAACATTATACAGCAGCGGCATCAGCGCAGCAAGTCGTGCCTTCATCCCCTCCTTCCCCATCCCTTTCTACCTCTACCATTCTTTCATACGCCACTTCTCCTTCCGCATCCCCGCTCATACCCAACACTGAAGTGCCTTCTAGCCTCAAAAGCGCATCGATGAATCAGCCTTCATATCACCTCCATTCTCCTTCTTACTCCTCTTCCTATCATCATCACCAGCAAATCCATGACCAACGCCAGCACCAACGCCATAATCATCATAACCAGCATCATTCACCTCCTAGTACCCAACTCCCACGTAGTAGTGCGCGTCCTCCTGTAAATGCAAACCAGTTCCCCCGTTCCGACGTCTTGAATAGTGGTACTGCGCCCAATGAAGAGGCGTCGGATGATGAAGATGACGAAGTGGGCGAACCACAAGTTTTTGTGCCTCGCTCGGGCATGGATAAGAGTGGAACGGTGATGGGAAGACCGGTGTTGGATGTAGGTGGGAAGCCAGGAGGACCAAGCTCCAGGGGGAAAGCAAGTTCGAGCAAGACGAATATGGCGTTGGACATTTGGCTTGAAGTGGCCGACCAACATCGAAGGATGGATAAAGTCATTGACGGATATGGACGTGAGTGACCTTGCTCTTCTCTTGATCCCCTTCGTCGGTCCCATTTACTGACCTTTTTTTTTCTTCTCCTTTTTCGGCACTTTGGTGAATTACCTTTTTTTCCCTCGGTGTGGCGATGACGATCATAGTGGACAGCTCGAATAGAACGTACTCTTCGACGAGCCTGGATTTGGATTTGGACTCAGATTTGAATTTTCGCACTTCCGGACCGAGTACGAAGACAAGGACGAGCGTAACGAATACGTTCAGATTCTTGCACTCTTTGGAGATGACTTCACCCGAATTCTTACAGAGGAAAGAGCACCTCTTTGTGAGTTGCTTTCTCTTGAAACAGTCCCTCTCGTGGATGTTTACTAATCCCCCCTTCGGTTATTCCCATTCCCTATCTAGCCTTCTCCTTATGAAGTGGGAGTACCGAGGGAGATGTTATCCTCTTCATCTTCCACGTCATCGCCTTCAACGTCAACGTCCACCTCAAGTCGATCGTCAGTAGCGGGATCGGCATACTTTTCTTCCTCTTCGTCGTTCGCAGCAGGACGTCGTTGACCATGAAACCGACGTGACGTTGTCGTGACTGTGTGCCTCTCCACTTCCATGTGCTTCCTTTCTTTTGGTTCTACATAAAGCAAAGTTCTACAATTCGTGTTTTTTATCAGAAGAATTTCAGTGCGACAGTACTATAATCCCTATCCCTACTCTACCCTATCATACCTAAGTACCCATCCATAGTATATTCTCAATGTGTTGGCATTTGTGCGTGTTATCTAAAAGAAAACCACGTTCAGCAACCTTCCTTTTGTATAGTGCTGACTAGTTGTTCTTGATTCCGATGCTCTTATACTTGCAAGACTTGATGCTGATTCTATATATACAATGCAAACACCCAACGTATGACGATCACAGTGTGGATGTATTTGAACAAGTGCCCGTGCGGCGCTCGATTGCATTAGTTTGCATGCTTATGCGACACAAACCGCAGAGTTGTTTCTCGCCAACTCCACTCCGATAAATGGATATACGCACTCGTTTCGACCTGTTGTGTGTCCATCATTGCGCAATGGACCACCCGATGGCGTGATTATGGCGCGCTTGACGTGAGTCACCGTGACGGCTCTTACGGTACATACGGACGGACGGACACGGCACGGCATGGGCTATAGTATGACGACTATCACTTTACCTATTGAGTGCGTTTAGATGAGGGATAAGGGGATTATCGATCCCGCACTGCCTGCTCCCTGCTCGCGTGAGTCGCGGATCCGGCTCAGCTCACGATCGGCGCAGGTGACATGACTTATCAAAGGGATAAAAGAAAAGATGCTAGGTGTGTGTGCATACACACGGATGCGCGGAGACGCCGACGCTTTGTGTGTGGATTGGGAATTTTCCCGATGGCGCTCGATTAGCCGATCTACCCTTCCTTTTGCCTGTGCCTCTATCGTGCGCGTGAGCATGCGCACGTTAGGTATCTTTTTGTTTTTTGTTCGGTGAATTGTTTTGTGGGAATGGACGGGTGTGACCGTTAGGAAGTAGAAGGGGGGAGAAGGAAAGGGGAAGGGAAAAGGAAGGCTAATCCTCCTGCTGTATGAGATCTATCTCAGGGGGCCGTGCGTCCTCGTACATGCGTGCAAAGGCAAAGGGCCAGTGATTTCAGGGAACTGAATGAAAGTGAGACATTGGAATGAATTGGGCCCAAGAGAGTACGCGGAGGAAGTACATGTATGGGAGGTATCGAGGTGGGTTTGGGATCTGGGATGAGGGGAATAAACAATGGTGTGGGTGTGAATTGAATGATTTGATATGTGCCGTGCGCATGGGCGG